CTGTATCTGTTTAGTCAGTTAGAACAGGATTTTTGTAACCTTGATAGCACCAACAAGATTGGAAGATCATGGGATATTTGTGTGATATATGAGTTACATGAATAAAGTTTCAGATTGTGTTAACCCAAGGAACCGTAAAAAGATGACGGATGCTTGCTTGACAAGACCCGAGTAGAGAGGTAGCACAGATCTTTGATGGTACTACGTAAAGAATTATTATTAGAAAAAGTGAATAACTGAACAGGACTGGATATTTGGCAAAGTACTTTACCAACCAGGCTGCCAAATCACTGGAGGAAAAGGACCCGATGATGGGAACTAGGGACAGGTCACAGCCCTTTCGGGCCATTTGGATTAGAAGTTTGGTAATTCGTGAAGTATGAAAAATAATCTGTAAAGTATGTACTGAGGTCTGAGTAAACTCTACAAGAGCAGAAGTAGGTAATGGTAGCAGCCTCAGCTCGCAAGTACTTGTCCTCGGACTTGGCGTAAGTTACCAAAATCTAGGTTAGCCAGATTGTGGGTATGAAAAGCTCTAGCAAGTTTATCTTAAGGGTAAATTAGCCCTAGGTCAGGTGCTTTCTATGGCAGGTATTGGTTCGTCATAAGGATATGGCGGTGCAGAGGGTTTAAATAGGTAATCCTCTAGTTGAATTATCGGTATGGCATCTAGTGTGGAACCTTTGGGTGGACTATTTAAATAGACAATCAAAAGTTATACGTGTGGCTAATTGTACTCTTTAAAACTATGTACCAAAATGAGTAGTAGCTGGCTGTCTAGCTTAGCATATAAACTAATAAAAAGCAACTGACCATGAGGTCACTTTGATATTAAAAAAAAAAATATATAAAAAATACTTTAATAAAGTTAGTTTTATAAACAAGGTTAAAACTTTTTAAAAATTTGTCTTAATTAAATCTAATTGTCTATCAATTCTATTTGTCTTTTCAGTTAATTCTTTTAATATATTAGTTTGTTTATTTAATATAGCTAAAATATTAGATAGAATATTTTCTAAAATATAATATTAAAATTAAAATTATTTTATTTAATTGATAATCTGCTAGTCACCTAAAAAGTGATCATAGTATAATATAATACAAATCATTATATAAATTACTTATAGCAGAATACTATGTTCACTCAAGAAAAACTATTTTTTTATTTTGTAGAGCTTATTACAATAAATCTAATGATAGTTATACAGTATAATTAAAATTGGCTTAGTAGATGTCAAGATATCTTCAAAATATAATTAGCTGATTATATAAAGTTCTATATAAACAAATATTTGTTTATATAGAATTTTATATAGTTGGCCAATTGTTTTTGAAGATATCTTAGCATTTACTAGGCTGATTTTAATAATCTAACTATAGTTAGATTTATCGTAATAAGCTCTATAACTTTTAATTAATAGAAAAAGATAATTAACTTAGTAAAAAAAATAGGTTTCTTTGAGTAAATGTAGTATTTCTACCATAAGTGATTTACATAGTGATTTGTATCATATTATACTATAATTACTCTTCAGGTGATTAGTAGATTATCATTAAGTTTTCTAAAATTTTATATGTTTCCAAAGCTAGAAAAAATTTTTATTTTTAAAACAAATATTAATTTTTACAAGTAAATCACAAGATTTATAATAATTAAAATTATAATCTATTATTCAAACTATAAAGTTGTATTAGAAACTATAGGCCTAAAATTAATATTTAAAAAGTTTGTTATAGATAAACTAAAATATTTTTTTTAAAAAAATATATTTTTAAAATTATATATTTTTGGTTTATAAATAACCCAAAATTTTTTTATAATCTAAAAATAAATACTATAAAAAAGTAATCTATATTTCAAATATTCTTATACCAAATTTTATTTGAATATTCTAAATTATTAATTATAGTATCAATACAGGCAAATTTGACACAATATATACAATTCTGAAATAGTATTATATACTATATCATCCAAGTCTTTGAAAACTATTCTAGCCAATTTAAGTACAGATTTTATAATTTTTTTTTTTACTGCTTAAAATTTTTTAATAATTTAAGCAGGCAAATTTGCTTACTTAAATGGATAGTTTAAGAGATAGATTTAATAAAATTCAAAACTTTACTATAAGCAAATTAGCACAAACCACCACATTAATTATATTAATATATTTAGCTTATAAATTAAATATATAATAATATTCGAATACAAATCTTTCAATATTATTAAAATTATCCAGAGGGAAAAATTATTTCTATTTTAGGTAGGATTTGTATCAATAACGATAATGAAATCCTGCCGTATGATAATTCACAAGATTATTTATTATACGGTACAAGTCTTTTAAAATGCAATTTATTACAAAATTTTAAACAACATTATTTATTTTTGAGGTAGATGATTACACACATTATATTACGTTTCTATGGATTTAAAATGAAGAGATTCCAGTATTACCTAAGCGACTAATAGAAAACTCATAAAACCAATAACTAAACTTAACCCCATTCCCCAGAAACTTGAACTAATATTTGCAGAAGAAAAGGCCATGGAGTTTTGGTCATCTGCAGGTACAGCGGTCACTACCGAATTAACAGCCACAATAGTGGTTGGTGGGACGAAAGCGTTTACTACAGTTACATCACCATTAGAATCAGTAGTCATAACCGCAGAAGTATATCCTGGAACAAAAGTAGCAACAGTGCTAAATACGGTTTTTGTAATTGATGATTTAGAAGAATTTGGTTTTTGAGTTGGTGCATTATTTGATTTAATAGGAGCAGATGTAGGGGATGCACCGGACACAGATGTAGGTGATGCACGGGACACAGATGTAGGTGATGAACCGGACACGGATGTAGGGGATGCACCGGACACGGATGTGGGGGGTGCGCCGGACACAGATGTAGGGGATGCATTAGAAGTAGGAACTTTCCTAATATGAAAAATATTAACGTTAACGTTAAATAAAATATTAAGTTACCAAATGAGGGGGATGGCTAAAGCCATGTACCCACGTGATTTTTCGAAGTTTTAATTAAAATTAAGGTTAGAGCTAGTTTAGTATTAGGAGTTAGAACTAGGGTAGAAATATACGTAAAATTGCCTTCCCGGCACTTTTTATTAATGCCTCAAGGCAGGTTTAAACTGCCGTTTTCATATTTTTGCGGTTCCTTTATTTTTTGACTTCGGGCTGATCAAATTCGCGATCCGGTTGGTTGATTTACACAAGCATGTCACGTGGTACATGGCTTTAGACAACCCCAAATGAGATATTAAATACTTACTGAATTGTTGGAGCAGCCGATTGGGGTCCAGGAAGATTAGAAGTGAGTGGAACGGTAGTTACTTTAAGATCGGAAGTTGCAACCACGGGTAACTTGCCATTAGCTGGGAACGAAGAAGTGGTCACTGTGGTTCGAGGGTTAGCAGTATTGATAGTTGAGGTGATTTTTGGGGTGGTTCGAGGGTTAGCAGTATTGGTAATTGAGTTAGCAGTATTGGCAGTTGAGGTAATTTTTTGGGTGGTTCGAGGGTTAGCAGTATTGGTAGTTGAGGTAATTTTTGGGGTGGTTTGAGGGTTAGCAGTATTGGTAGTTGAGGTAATTTTTGGGGTAGTTATTGAGGTAGTTTTTGGAGTAGTCGTTGAGATAATAGTTGGAGTAGAGGTAAGGGTGGTTATTGATGTTATTTTTGTGGTTTTCGTGGTAAGTGAATTAAATGCAATAACTGGTGTTTTCATACCGGTAGGTAAATTCTCCGAGTTTGTTAATGTCGTTGAATTTTGTGTTGTCCCGCCAGGGGATTGTCTTTTGTTTGCTCTACCGAGGGGCGACGCAATGGTTGAGGCAATAAGAAGAATAAAGACAAGGGAAAATGACATAACTGTGTGATTTCTCAGTATTCTAGACTTTATCATCATCGTGAATGGGTTTTAAATATGGATTATGAACTATAGTGGTAAATACTTTTTTTTGATTTTTTTTTTTCTTTTTTAACGAAACGTAATTTTCCTCTTGCGCAAACAAAATCCAACGACACAAACTCTCTTTGATCTACAAAGAAAATTTGACCACCAATTTGTTAGAAAGTTATAAATGGAGATGCCAACGACTATTTATTAGAATCAAGTATGCGTACGATATGATACAGATTTTGTGTAAATTATATATAACAAAGAATGTTCTTGGCTAAAAATAAAGTTTTATGAACCAATGAAACTGAGTATAATATTATGTGTTCAATATCATGCCGAACAAAAAAGTAAAACAAAGATTAAATTCAGCGTCAGAAACAATGACGTTTACAAATACAAAATGTATTATTCTTAGTTTCTATTGTAATTTTTGTATCAAGTAGAATCAATTTTGGCCATATGACATTCTGTTACCGAATTAGAGTTCTAATCCCCGAATATTTAAAATATTTATTGGTCAAAATTGGATATAAAATGTGTCTTTGTACGATTGTTAATATTCCAGCCAATCAAACATGATATATCGATATTAATTTTGTTGCATCCAAATATTGATAAGAATAGAAAAAAAAACGATTATTTCGGGTAATGCTAATAAAGCATGTAATTCTTAATGTTAATTAGAGAAATACAAGGTTTTAAAAACAAAAAAAAAAACAAAAATTTCTATATTTTTAATCTATATATGTTTTATAAATAATAAAATATAATTATTCACAGATTAGTATACATAATAGAAAATGGAAAGCGTTTAAAAGTCCAGAACCAGCAAAAGCGCATGTCTGAAACGAAGCGGTGCACAATTATAAAGATAAAATCCCATCGGATGGATTGAATCGATCATTAATATATAAAATAATCAATTAGTGAGTGTATATAGTGAGTTCATTATATACAAACAGAGGCATTAGAGGTAGAGATTGGAATAGAATCTTTAATTCACTGAATATTCGAATTAATTCGATTTAAAATTATATTCGAATTAAATTCGAATATTCATACATAAATATACGTGAAAAATGGATGCTATATAAGGTAGCCGTTATATAGTCGTTAAATATATGTATGCGATACATTGTAATATAACTATTATGACCGTTATAATCATTATAGCTGTTACAACTGTTATAACTGTTATATCCATTATAGCTGTTATAACTGTTATAACTGTTATATCCATTATAGCTGTTATAACCATTATATCCATTGTAGCTGTTATAACCGTTATAATCATTATAGCTGTTATAACCGTTACATCCATTATAGCTGTTATAACCGTTATATCTATTATAGCAATTATAACCGTTATATCCATTATAGCTGTTATAACCGTTATAGCCATTATAGCTGTTATAACAATATTCTAGCGGTCTAACCATTAAAAAAGTATTCTAACAGTCTAAACTGATCTAACGTTTAATAATAGTTAAAATCATTTATGCGAATCAGTAGGCGAATCAATAAATTCGAATGTTATATAAATTAATATTAATTATTCGAATTCAAATTAAATAAGTTCGAATGTAAAAATTAAGTTCGATTCTAATCTCTAATTAGAGGTAATAAAAAAGATAAGGAAGAAAGAATGATATACAGCTAGTTTACCTGCAGGTTTTGCTTGTGTAAGCTTCCTTCTGGATGATCACTTTTTTACCCAATTCTTCAGCCTTGGAAATATTATGTTTACAAAATCGATCATGAGACCAGGTTAGCATTTTGCAAACCATTTTGGAATTGATTTTCCGATTAAGACAGTGAGACATAGCAGATCCATTGAAAGGTGGTATAATGATGACATCAAAATTAGTAAGAAACCATAAAGCAACTTTCTTGTGACACTCATTAACAAGATTTTTGATTCGATATCACAGACGAGCCTGAGCTCTCTTCATTGAGTTTCGTTTTTTAGAAGAAGCATGGGTAGTTTTGCAAAATGTAAATAATCAAAAAAATCATAAGATATCTGTACAAGAAAACAAAAAAATAACTCAACATACCGAGAAATAAGATTATCCAGAGATATCCCATGATCTTCCAATCTTGTTGGTGCTATCAAGGTTACAAAAATCCTGTTCTAACTGACTAAACAGATACAG